AAAAAAAAACAACAAAAAAACACACACACACAGGGGGTTCCAGAGTCCGAATCAACTGGGTAGTTATGGAACTGCTTTGCTTTTTGGCTTTGTGCTTTTATTCACTCAGTCATCAAACATTTATGGAGCATCTGTCATGTGTCAGGCACTATGCTAGTTTCTTGAGAACCTGCCCTCCTGTGGCCAGCATCCTAGTGGACAGACAAGGACAACACTGGATCAGCATCTCCCAGGAAAGGCTCCTAGTGGAGACCTTAGAGGTGAAAGAGGCATGGAGTGAGGGCCATAGCAGAGGTTACTGAAGGCGGAGGAGGGGCTCCACCAGCAGAACTTGGAAGTGAAAGTGAGAGTACCTAGGGTCCTGACTGGTCTGTGCAAAGGCACCTGAAGTGGGAGAGGGTTGAGCATGCTGAGGAACCTTGGGTAGTTCGCTAAAGGATGAGGGCAAAGCCAGAGAAGTAAGAAGGATCCAAATGAGAGAGGCATGCAGGAGCTGTGCTGAGGAATTTGGGTTTTACCTTGAGGGCTATGGAGAGGAGGGTCTTGAGAAGGCAGTGACTTCAGGTCTGCTCTCTCAGTAGTTCACTTTGTCAGCTGTACGGAGGGGTATTGGAGGGAGACAAGACCCAAGGCAAGCAGATGAGGTTGGGGGCTGCTGCAGTGTTCCACACCCACCTAAATCTCAGAATGTCCTTTTTTCACTCTTTTTTTTTTTTTTTTTTTTTCTTTTCTCACTCTTGCAGTTGTAAGTACAGAGGTGCTCAGAGCCCAAGAAGAATGGGAAGCTGTGGACAACATCCAGCCAGAGACAGGTGCCGACCAACACCACACGACCTACCCGCAGTCCTGCTGCCAACAAGGACACCATCCTCATGTGCAGCTAACCTTTCTGTGACTCTAGGATTAGGAGACAGGAATCCAGTGTTCTCCGTTCAGTTTTAAGACATGGAATAAAATCTCCTTTCCAAATCCAAGGAAGATGGGAATGCATGCAGTCAGGAATGGCCACCATCCTATGCGCCTCCCAACCCAGCAGGGAGGCCAGTGGTTGGCGCCAGTCTTTGTGCACTGGTGAGGCTGAATGACACAGGATGGAGGCAGGCAACCAGAGCACTTGCAGGCTGCACAAGGGAGTCCCTGAGGATGGGCTGTGGCCACTTGCTGGAAGGCTCTGAGGGCTGCATGAAAGTGTCCCTTGGTGAGCCAGGCTTGGACAGAGCGGTCAGAGAATAGAACTAGGACCCATATCTAGCTTGAGCCTGATGTGAGCTCCTGGACAGATATTCCCATGGGCTTTATCAACTGTCACCTGGATTGCTAACTGATAAGCTAGTTCCCTGCGGGCTATAACAAAGGTGCTGTTGTGAAGTGCCATCAAGTCAGTTCTGACCCACAGTGACACTGTATAGGGTTTCCAAGGAGCAGCTGGTGAGCTTGAATTTCTGGTCTTGTGGTTCAAGTCAACTTTGTAGTCCAATGAGTTAACCCACAGTGGAAGGAGCAAAGTAGACACTAGGAAAGGCTCTTACGCTAACTAGTGGAATGCCTTCATGTCGGTATCTGCACCAGACAGTGGCTTGCCCCCTCACAAATGAGTGGAATTTAGGGTGCTCCCCGCAGGGCAGATCCATCCCTCACTGCAGAGGTCTGCCTGCAAATTTCTGAACAGTCAGGGCCAAAAAGGGAGTCAGCCCAGCAGATAATGACAGTCATTCACAATAGGTTTGGTTGTAGTTGTAGTGTCTGAGGCTTGGATGGGCGCTGATAACCAGAAGCCCTCGGTAAGTGTTGCTAACAGAATGACAACCATCATAAATCCTGGAATGTTTTTTGTTTTGCCACAGGTAGCTGGGCCACTTTGGAGCAGTCTGGGCAGACAATCTCTTTCAGTGAGGCCTTACAGCATTTCCAGACTGTAGACCTCTCCTCCTTCAAGGTATGGGGTCTGGAGTAAAACACCTTCTTTCCAGATGCCAGGTTTCTATTCTGCCAGGAGAGGATAAGAAGCAGGCAAGATGGTCCTATCCTACCTAAGCACTTGGGGACCTGTACCTTGTGCAGTGCCCCAGTGGCCTCTCTGGGACTTGTGACCTTGAGACACAGGGACCCATGTTTGTTTCCCTACTCTTCCCTTTTAGGGTCTGGAATCAAGTGCTAGGTAGTTCCTTGAGGAAAACAAGGCAACCTGTCCAGGGAGCTGACTAATTCCTGGCCAATATAGGAAAATCTATCAATCCCTCAAGAGATCAGAAGCTACTTGGAAATTTAAGAAATATGTGGAGTTAGAAAAAGAAGGAATATTGAGAGTAAAAGCCAGGGAGCTTTGGGGGACATCTTGAATGACCAGTAGTAAGTTTAGGAGAATTTGACTGAAAAAGCAGGGATGGGATTGGATTGCAAGACCCAAAGAACCAAAAAGTACAAAAATCAGTATTCATGATAGTGATCCTAAGGCACAGGAAGCCAGCCTAGCGTCATCTAGGAGGTGATTACAGCAGACAGAAAGCTCCAGCCATTGTGTGGCGCTCCACTCAACTACCCTTCCCACAGCCTCCCTCAGCCTGGAAGTTCACAGGACTGCTCGATGTTGCAACTTAAATCTTTTACAAAGAAAAACAGACAGACAAATGATTAAAGCAGTCTTGCTGGGAAACCTAACCTGACTTTTGTCTGACCATAGTTGAGAGGGGGCTTCCCTATAGCAGGGCATCTCTAGCCACTAAACCAGTTGCTGGAGTCAGTTCCCACTCATGTCTGTCAGCGTAGGACTGTGCTCCATAGAGTTTTCAATGGCTGCTTTTTAAGAAGTAGGTAGCCAGGGTGGACTCGAACCTCCAACCTTTCAGTTAGCAGCTGAGCATGTCAACTGTTTGCCTAGCCTCACTGGGAACTGCAAACAGTTCTGGGAAAGCCCGAAGGATGAAATGCAGAGAACTGGCTGATAATGGCTGGGCTTGAGGACATCTCTTTTCTACTTGCAAAGAACCTGAGAACTGAAAGAGCCCATCTCCAGAGACTCACCATGTGCTCTGCCCCCTTCCCCAGGCCCAGGGACCAGTCAATTGGTGGGGATTACTTCCCACAAGAACTGTCCCTGTATGTAGGCTCCATGGTAAGTTCATTATAGCAGGTAAACCCAGCACTCTTTCTCTGCCCACTGCCTCCAACTTCCTCCCCAGAAAAAAATTCAGCCAACCATTCGAAGAACTGGACTCACCGCCCTCCGGCACCTCCTCTTTGGTCCTCCGAAGCTCCACCAGGGTCTGCATGAAGAAAGGGACTTGGTCCTGACCATTGCTCAGTGTGAGTGCCAACCCCAGCATGCACAAGTGCTGCCACAGGTGCTGAGGCTACGCCAGGGGTCTTGCATGCACCATGTTGAGGGGGAAGAGAGCGGGAACTGAGGGGTGCATGTGTGGGAAAATGGAGTCCCTTGAGCATAGCCCAGATCTATCTTGGCTGTACCGTCCTCTGAGAAGCAGCTAGTGCTCCCCCAAGGAGCAGTCTGACCCACGGGATGGGTGTGTTTGGGAGCAGGTGGCCTGGATAGCCAAGACCCAGTGCACTGCCGAATCCTCCAAACCATCTACAAGAAGCTAACCGGCTCCAAAATTGACTGTGCCCTCCATGGAGACCACTGGGAAGATCTGGGCTTTCAGGGTGAGAGAGCGGAATGGTTTGTTTTTTCCTTGACCCTGACTCTTAAGCCAAGAGGCCAGCACCATGAGATAGGATATCTGGAAAGAGCATTCCAGGAATGGGGTGCAGAGGCCCTACAGTGGAGCATGACTTCTTGCTTGAGAAAGAGGGAAATGGGGTCACTGGGAGGAGAGTGTTGAGGTTACACCTGTGGCCTTGCAGGCCATTGTCAAACATTTGCTCTGAGGGAGATGGGAAGCTGCTGGAGAGCAGCTATGGATTGGGATTATTTTTCCATCCTTTAAAATTTTTTATTTATTTATTTTTTTGAGTGAAACAAAATGATTTCAACTACTCCTAGATTGTGCTCCTTTTGTTGTTGTTGAATATCATATCAAATTACATTTGTATAGAATGGGAAACTATCTTCATGTAAAAATTTATAAAAAATATTTCCATCGAGAATCACATCAGACAATGTTATGATTCTTAGGTAGCTACCAAACACAATTTAAAAATCTTAGCGGAAGGTAGGTCTCTTCTATTTGCCCTTATGTACTCTTTCTGTTGTTTTTTTCATCCTTCTTGATATTCCAAGACTCCTTTCATAGTTTTCATTGTATTTCAGAAACTTACTTTTGTGTGTGTGTGGTACAACGTTGTTGTAGTTGGGTGCTGTTGAGTTGCTTCTGAAGCATAGTGACCCCATGCACAACAGGACGAGCCACTCACTGCCCGGTCCTGCGCCATCCTCAGAATTGCTGCCACGCTTGAGTCCACTGATGCCGCTGCCCTTTATCCATCTTGTTGGGGTCTTTCTCTTTTATGCTGACCCTCCACTTTACCAAGTATAATGGCCTTTTCCAGACTCTTGTCCCTCCTGATAATATGTCTAAAGTACAAGAGGCAAAGTCTCGCCAGCCTAGCTTTTAAAGAACATTCTGGCTGTATTTCTTCTAACACAGATTTGTTTGTTCTGGTAGTCCATGATGCTTTCAGTATTCTTCTCCAATACCAATACTCAAATTCGTCAGTTCTCATATAGTCTTTCTTTTTTTGTTGTTAAAGTTTTTATTGTGGATTGAGTGAAAGTTTACAGGGCATATAATCAGTGTTACATTCAACAAACCATATACCTTGTTTCATTACATTGATTATAATCCCCTCCATGTACCATCAGTTAACAGTATTTCTCTCTATCCACTTTAGCTCTATAAAAAACACACAAACAAAAAAACCCACTCAGGCATATATAATAATTTACATCTCCAAAGGGCACATTCTGCAAGTCTGCTCCTGGCCACCAGCTCTTAATCCTTCTCTTCTTAGTCCATGAATCTCGAGTTCTCAGCCATTCCCCCTCTCCATGCTCCCATCTCTGCCTCCATCTCTGGCACTGCTGCTTCTCTGGATAAGGTCCTGCATTCTGCTTATGCGTACCTCTCTTGATGGTCCTAGGGTCCTCTGTTTCTGGACTGTAAGATTAACCACTCCCCTTTATTTGTTACAAAACTTCTACCTTTACAATTGTGACAGTCGCAATTAGTCATGGTAACAGTTATTCACTATTGAATCTTACGAATCTTATCCCCATCTCTTTTCACCAGACCCATCTAGATAAGATGAC